CTGTATCAATGCTTATTTGGATAAATCAAAACATTGTATCAATGCTTATTTGGATAAATCAAAACATTGTATCAATGCTGATTTGGACATATCAAAACTTTGTATCAATGCTAATTTGGATACAGTACACAATACCACGGGCCTGACACTCTAACAACTGGCAGATTTTTGTGTACATGTATTTCATCACAAAAAAGCTGTGCAAAAATATGGAATTTATGGGAGCTTACAATTCAACGGTTGAGTGTAAATGTAATCTAAACATGTTTGTATACCATTGCCATTAACATTGGGACCACTGATGTGTATCTCTTCAGCATTATCTTTTAGGCATTTTTAGGCAATAGTAACATATCTAAGCAACATAAATGAGCCCAAAACTATTCAAAGCAAACATTGTCAAGCAAATTGGTACTCTTAGGGGGTTCGTGGAGTTGTAACCTGATCGGAACTTAGGAAATGGTGTTTATGACTTCACTAGTAAACAGAACCACAGGCAGTAACAACCAATGAAAAACTTATCTAAACACTTATGCAATGACTGCAGCTTGAAACAATGGTTATGGCCAACAAAATGTGCTACCTTATTATTGCACCAAAGAAATAAAAAAACCTGATGTTTTTCTCAATGGCGATGGGTTCAATGAAACCACAATTTCCTCTTGGGGGAAAGGGCAGCACAGTCCAATAATTTCTTCTTCTTTTTGTATTACAATACCTCTGATATAGATCTCAGTCACTGTTGCTGGTTTGTCCTCATGTTCCATCTCCACCTGTATGCTTGGTTTGAAGTATGCATACTTGTCCTTGGTGACGTATGTTTTTGGTTTGGGTTCCTCATCGGCATCATCCACAGGCTCTTCTGGGGGTGTGGGATCCTTCGCCTTGGGGTCTGGAGGAGGAGGGGTGCCTGGCCGCTTGGCCCGCAGCACCACAGGGGGGGTTTCTGTTTGTGGCAGGCCAGCTCTTCGACAAAGCTCAGTAAAGTCTGCATCAAACTGACCAGTGCAGGTGTAAGGCTCTGTTAGAACAGTGGGGGAAGACCAACAGCAAACTTGGGTGAGTTGAGAAAGGTTAAGCTGACAATCCAGTTCATTAGTGTGCGCCACTTCACTTTCAGCTACCTGTACATGTATGCTGACTGCACACAGAGCTACATGGAACCAAGGAACTAGAAGTTAATGCTTAACTTGAGCATGCTGAATACTCCTCCAATGGAAGCTTGCAATCAGTGGTGCATGCATAATGTGTATGATGAAGTCTTTTACGAATCGTATGGTACAACAATCGTTTGGTCACAGGTGTGTGTACATTGTACATCCTACAGTACAGTGTGTATATGTACATCACACATTAATTAAAGGGCTTCATTTATGCAAAGACACCAGTACACATTCTGACAAAGGTTTTTCCCATTCTTTTGTGCTTGTACAGGTACATGTAAATGTACATAGCCCCCATGGTGTTTTTGCAACCTGATTACGTAATGCCATCACGGCTCTCGCAAAACTCAAACTCCCCTCCCCATTTTTGTATATGCATTCACTTTGGAAATTCACATTTTTGGGTTGATCATAACAATGTGCGCCACGTACGTGTGTATGCTTAAAACAAAACTGCATTAAGACTAAGGTTACAAGTTGGTAATAAAAAGTAACATGCTAGTCAGACATCTATCCAATACCACATTGCAAGTCAATGGGTACAAATCATGGTTGCCATTGGTGATAAGAATTAAACATTTGGTCACCCATTACAATTTTTTAAGCCCAAATGCAATACCGGTGCATGTATACATATATGTGAAGTACATCTTTCTTGACTTTAAAAGGTTTACAATTGTAAACGTAAAGATGGCAATTGCGATTTAACCTAAACTGGTTTAATTTGTGTGTGACAAATCACTCTTTAAAATTACTTTTATAGTATTTTTTGGTGTTACATACATGTACATAAAAAAAATTGATTATGTGAAGATTTTATATTTTAGTTACATGTATGTATTGATTTTAAAGTTAATATTGTTTTAGATAATTTTTTTTATAGTTTGACTCTTTTTATGTAAACGATTCACATGTACGTATATGTAAGGGAAGAATTTTCCCAGTATCACATTCCCGATAAATTTTCAGCCATTTGCCACGCACTTTTCATGAATCACAGTTGCTGCGATGCAACCAGAAACATACGTTTACGGGCGAATTCATTCAGTACGAGAGCGTGGCACTCCCTGTAAGCTGAATTGCTCAGCTAGCTATGAAGTGCCGATAACACAACGAAAACACAATTTGCGATGTTGCCGTATTTTCAAAAAATTTTCTCTTGGTTATTTTGTCTAATATTGAAGTTGTATTGAACTTTAATCTTCTTGTTATGTCACAGCCTTATGTGCTTATTTTCTTTCCTGTCTTTGGGTTTATTTCAGATCTGGATTTGTTGGTGATATCATTTTCCAGTGATAGGATAGATTTTTGAAAACAATGCCGGAGAGAATTTTCTAACCTGGTGCTTTGTTGAGATCCTCTTCCGCTGCTTCTTGAGAGGTGGAGGCTGCTGCCTTTTCCTTCATAGCTTTCTCTACTCGCTTACCCATCTTCACTTTCTTTGCAGCACTGTAGAAGGACACAAGCAAATCAATCTGGAGTTTTGCGTTTAATCCTGTCATTTTAATTGCAACCAAAAAACAAACCCTACTAGAGGTCTACATGTACGTGTCAGCAAGAAAGCCATACTGACAGGCATCCAATATCTGTACTAGTACATCTCTGAAATGTCTATCCAATAGGCTTGGTTTTGTTAATTTCATTATTCTCTAATTCATAGCATTGCAACTATTCAATTCATACTGTAGCATTGCAGTTTCAGTCCACACGATTAATTTCTTCTCCATTGATGATGGAAAAGTACCGGCAGCATTTTTGCCTTATAATTAACTGAAAATGAGGCAAAGCGTACATTGTAAGAATGGTGTGCACGTATTAATGTTCAATATCGATATACTTGGTGAAAATATGTATGATTGCAGCACATCAGAGGTTTAATGATAATTTCAACTGATAAAAAATTAGTTTGTAAGGACATGAGAAGAATGGGGGATGATCCTACTGACACAATCCCCCTCGTGATTCATGGGAATCTTTTAGGCCTGAACATCAATTTCAAAGCTTCTCTTTTAATACAACGGACATCAAATACATGTAGATTAGGGTTCAGGGACAAGCAGTTATGTTCCAAAACTCTGCAGCTTAAAACACAACAAAATGCTGTTTAAAAAAAAAGCACTAAAGTACATGTACCGGTACCATGTAAAACTTGTTCTACAAGAACGGTAATGAGCTGATGGTGAGGTGTAAAACTCACAGAATGTTTACTTTTGATAAATTCACGGAAAATGTTGATCAGCGTCACTAATGGAAAATGCATTTAAATTTTTGGTTCATATCTCTGGGAAAATGAAATTACAGGTACACGTAGTGCACTGGTCTCATGTAATGATGTACATAGTGAACATTCAGACTATAGGAGGTTATGATTACATGCAGGGTTAGCAATGCGAAGCAGGGATGTGGTGCACATGTATGCTCCCCTTTTTTTAACAAGGGAGGCTGCTATTTTCAAATATACATTTAGATTAGATTTGGGTCTAGCTGGAAGTCAGATGCTTCCTAATGGTTCTCCTCAGCAATATTGGCAGACATTTCCTGTCTAATCTTATACTGGTACAAGAACACGGACATTTCCTGTCTAATCTTATGCCGGTACATGGACACGGACATTTCCTGTCTAATCTTATGCTGGTACATGGACACGGACATTTCCTGTCTAATCTTATGCCGGTACATGGACACGGACAGGTCCTGTCTAATCTCATGCCGATATATGGACACGGACACGTACCGATACATGTAGTAGATCAACAAGCATACGTGTACGTGTCAGCAGAAATGCAAACACTCAAGAATAGAATGATGTGGCTGAAAAAAAAGTCCCAAGTGGGGATTTAGTATAAAGTTTTCAGACTTTTTCCTTCAATTTCTGGATCTGTTTGACAAGACTTATGTCTGGAAAATGGAATTTGCATTCTTTACAATGAAGGAAAATCTTGGTAGCCACTGATGACGGTAAGTACGTGTATACAGTATGTACATGTACAGCCAGCCAAAAACTAAAACATTAATAAAAACTTAGCCATTACATGTACTTCAGATGTCTGTCAACTAATCCCACTCATGTGATTAAGTCAAATGTCAGAAATAAGTATACATACAGTACATGTATGTACTCCTGACAAACACAGGTTGCATGTACCTGTAGAGTACACCTGTGTACTTTTAGAATAACATTGTGTTTCTCATGAGAGACTTTTGTCCCCAAGGTGGCTCATATTTGCTGCTGTTGTATACTCGATTGAAATATGTGACCCTTCACAACAAAATGAGCATTAAGTTGCATTCTGCTCTTTCCTATTTTGAAGGTTCAAAGTCAGATATTGAAGTGGAGGTCAATTTTGGGGTTTTATAATATTTGGAAAAAATAACCTGTCTATTCATAATAATAAATTTTTCACAGGATTACATATTTAAAAATATCATTTTCTCAGCAATTTTGATGATAGCATTATTTGTGTTCAGTCAGAAATGTCGAAACAATGTCAGAAACAAAGACACAAAGCTGCCAGAATAATGTCCCATTGTCATGCTACAGAAGTGTTAAATGTACAAGGTTGTTATGCTAAATTCAAAAATACTAGTATTTCTCTCAATTTGTGAAAATTCTGACTTTCTGCTAATTTTGTGGTGACAGATCACATTAACATATCGTTATGCTTATTTCTAGAACCAGATGTTGTTACCAAGCAGGCACAGTACATGTACATGGTGAAGCGACCATACCGGTCCAACTTGAACAGCCATGCATTCGGGGGTATGCGGGATGAAGCAATAGAATGCAGCCAATGACAACAATGAACTGCCTGAGGATATGCAGATGAATGATGTGACACATAACATCAGATCACAGGTAACATAATCCCAATACTCACTTGCTCATGGTTAAGACTTGGAATACATTGCATGCAGACCAGAAACAGACACACACACCTGGCTCTCTGAGAAGCAATATGTATACATGTACACGAACACATCAACCCACTATCAATAATAAAGCTGCAAGTACAGGTGCTTCTAACTGAAGGGTGGTTATAAACCCATCGCTTAAAAAAAGTCTAGAAATTTGTACAAACACATTTTCTGAAAAAAGGGGTTTGCAATGTCAATAAAAAATCTCTTCCTTCACATGACCATTGCTCTTTAACAATGTGACTAAAGCGGGTATCTCAGTATAGATACGGTAATCTACATGTATCTGGATATCGTACATTCAAGCCTACATAGTGTTATACCAGGGCAGGTACTTCATGAAGGCATCAGAGGCAATACATGTACCCCTGATGCCCCTTGTCTTTGCCTCGATGCCCATTGAAATTTTCCCATAGACAAGTTGTTTTTCCTTTTTCGGACATTTAAAAATGATTGACCACTGTGATGTGGGGCTGGACAGTCTGAAAAGCCAAGAGATGCACTGCGTCCAAGATGAATACGTACCCAAAGAAAATGAAAGGCGACCAAGAAATCTTTTTTCAGCAGTCCTTGTATTAGTACTCCCTGTACACTGTGGGGTGTGCATGCATAAAAAAAATGCATACATGCATGTGCATAATATCACACATGTACAATGTTGGCCGACATGATGTCTAACGGTGGATGTAACACGTGGTTATGCGCACGTCGGCCATGTCAGTTATCAATGAATACATACATGTTCTTGGATGACAGGTATTGTTGTGAAGCTGAACAAGATTCAAACAGGTGTTAAAAGTCTCCAGGTGTAAATTACCAGACAGGCTCTCAATCAAAGCTACATGTAAGTACATGAACTATTACTCAACTATATAAAGAAGTCTGTGTAAAATGTGCGAATCAGGCCAACATTTATCCGAGTAGGGAGAATGTACAACAATGTACAGTATGGAAGCAAATTACCTTTTTCTCAAAATAAAGGAAAGGCAGGTTTGCGTTAATAGCACCCTAGGGATAGTTGATCACGTAGTGAACATACTGGTGTAATTTCAGATCATTAATGGGGGATTGTGAATTTTGGACCCCTTTCCTATATACACAGGTGCACAAACATGTACATGGAGAAGGAAGAAACAGATCCAGATGTACATGTAAGCTTTTTTGAGGGATTTCTGAGGAAAACGATATCGACAATAAAAGCCTGTGCATGCATGCATCCACTGAGAATAAACACCACCTCATTTCCATGGGTACAAAATTGGTTCCCTGTGAAGGAACATGCACACACAGCCCATGGAGTCGAGGTTGCCAATGACGCAATGCATCATGCATGTACGTCATTGGACTGGTCTCTGTCCCTATTTATACATTCAGAGAACTGGGACGGGACAGGCACCAGTCTTCCATTCGATGGACATGTGCCAAAGTATGTAGCTCAAATGTGCGGATCATTTATTGAAGAGAGGCAAGAGCATTTACAAATGCCAAAGAAGATCTCTCTTATGAGTATGTGTGGTTCTGAAAAGAACTGTGAGTATACTCAACGTTTTGGACTGCATGCTCAGTCCTTCGTCAGGAGAATCCTGACCAACAATGCTACCAACGATTGTTTTCTGGTCAAGACGTCTGGTGCCCTGACTACATTTGGGTCTCTCCTGTGGTTTCCTTAGAGGACCATGTTTTCCATAGTAGAGGAAACAGTCGTTGGTAGCACTCCCACCCGTCACAATCAACAAGTCTTGTGCCCAGACCACGTATAGGCCACTCATGAGTGTTTATTGGGAGGACTATGTTTTGCCCATAGAGTAATTATTGCTTCTAAATCTCACTACATGCATTTGAAAGGAGCAGGCAGTGAAATGTTTAAGTATTGTACGTGTGTTGAGCGAAAATGGTCGGATTTTGACAGATTTTGAAGTCACTGCATTGAAGCCTTAACCGTTTGACGTTGGCATTTATGAAAGCCAGTAGGTGATTTTTGGTGAGTCTTTGGAATTTTTGAGAACCGTTTTAATCTTACTAAATGAACGTGCATGGAGCGCTAGTATGACGATCTCATCCAAAATCGTAAAAGAGGAATACTAACCCTCCACTCAGTAGAGCTAGGTCAAAAACAGTGCTCTCCTCTGAGGGGGTGACTTGGCCTGGGGTGAGTTGGCAAAAGGGCGAGTCAGTAAGGGGCAAGTCGGTAAGGGGCAGGTCGGCCGTGGGCGAGTCGACCTACAATCTTCTTAAGTTCTTTCCTTTGCCGTCCACGCAAAAACAAGATGGCGGCCTGTCAGACTGCACAAACAGGCCTGCCTTTTTCACTCAAATAAAGCACTCAAATATCATTTCAGATTGATACAGTACATTTAATTTGATAAGTAGTTGCCTATAAAAACATTGGAAATAAAAAATCTTTGCATACATATGCTTGAATAACTTACACCTAGTACGAGGCCTAACTAGGCCCTACATCGTGTAGCATGACCCGTGTACGGTCTGCAATCTGGCAATAAAGAATTTTAAATGGTAGGCTATTCATCAAAATGTGCCATTACATTAAAAAAAAAACTACTGCTGCTTACGTGATTTCAAATGGTTTAAAAACTAGCAAGGCTTATCTGGAAGTGTAACCTTACACCACTTTCTAAAGTCACAAAACTGAACGTCAGACCACCGACGCAATGTCAAAGTTGGACCACCTACATGTACATGTAGTACACGCATACAACGCACGTACATATTCAGAGACTAGATATTTGCAGCCGTAGTCACTCAATTACTCAAAATGTTGTCTCCATGTGCATCAAAACATAGTTCCAAAAAACAGACTTACGTTTGTGTATTGTTTTGAAAAAGGTCTGTTAAAGTCGATGGGTGAGTGAACGCATAACTTAAGTCTACAAAAACCAGTTCTTCGTTCCGTTTTGCATTTGTTTGAGCTGAACATACTTCTTTAGAACCAACCTCGCTACCAAATCAATCCGCCAAGCGTGAGTGATCCGTTGGCTAGCAACAAGAGCAGAGATAGCAGCGCCCCCGTTGTTACAATCTGATTACTGTATATTTTCGTACAACGGTTACGTGACACAGTTCTTTTTCCGAACCGAATAAAGTTCTCTTGTCCATTGAGGTTTAGAAAAATTAATGTGGCGTATATTGTGCTTGAACTTGGGGCATGGGAGGAGATAACATGGCCAACCATAAGGGGAGACCATATGTCGAGAAGAAACGTACAAGTTACATCAGAATGGCATATTTGAATGAATGTTGGACATGATACGCGGGAAAACTCGGCCCTTGTACATTTCGTTCTTTCGTCTTTCGATGTGAAAACGAAAAATAATCAAACAACCAAAACATTTTTTTTTCGTTCTTTGATTTGAAAACGAAAAATGAAAATCGAAGAACAAATCGTTTCTCGTCTTTCAACTGAAAACCAAAAACGACACATGTAATTAGATTTAGAGGACATTCATTCAATGTTGTGATTGTGGACAAAAATTAGCCACAAACGTACATTTATCACTGATAAATATAAATATCATTAATGTTATCATAGTTACATAACATGAACATGAAAATGACAACATTTATGTGTTTTTGTACCCTAACCTAGGGACAGACAGACAACGAGAGGCAATCCGAAAAAACAAATGCGACACAAAACATAGCATACGGCTGACAAGAGCGATCGGACAAGAGCTAGCACCTCAGAAAAATTACCGTTTGTCTAAAAATTGAGCTTTGAGTCTCTTTACAAAGACAGGTAAAGAAAGTAGTGATTTCATAGAATCATTTATAATTCCAATACTGTTCACCTTGGTGAATAGCACTACTTTTAGACACTTACGTCCTGTGAAACTGGACGTACAATTTTCTATTTGAACTATATATAAGCCTACTTCGTGTATTGTAATTATGGATGGTTGATATCAAGGTAATCAGGTTTTAAGACAAGGAGGGAGTAGGTCATGCCTTAATTTGTATATAAACATCGCTAGATTCAGGTGATATAAGTCATTACATTGTGAAAGATTTAATTTAGCAAACAATGGAGTAGAATGATGACGGTGACCGGCATTATACGAACCGGTCGTTTTTGTGGAGTAAGTAATCTGTTGCATCGAGCTGGCGAGCTGCCCTACGTTATTCAAGTAGGGTAAAACTAAGGAATTTTTATACAATGTTAATAATACTTTATCCGGAAAATAATCGAGTTATAATGACTATAACTTTTATTATTCTTGGATATTTTTGTAGCTACATCATCAATATGACATTTTTAAGTTAGATTTTCATCCAGTGTTACAGCCAGAAATTTTGTACTTTAACCTGGGTCGACCTCGAAGTGTTTAAGATCAAAGAAGCCGTTCGTGTATACGTAAAATGATTTGAACAAAATGTTATGTAATGTGATTTGAAGGCATTAATACACAATTTGTTTGCTGAAAGCCACTCCTTAATTTTAGTAAGTTCCAAATTAATTAAGGTTCTGGATTGCTTCATTTACATTATTGAGTGTAGACAATAAACTTGTATCGTCGGCAAATAAACAAAATGTATTGTTTGAGGTACTGCATAATTGTATCGTTGAGGTAAAGTAAAAATAGCAATGGACCTAACACATAACCTTGTGGTACCCCGCATGTGATTCCCCGACTGCTGGAATTCACAGATTTAACTAGGGGGATTTACTTTTCTCATAACGCATTTACTATTTTGCAAATAAGGAAAGTTTTTATCATATGTTTGTTGGACTCGTAGTAAAATGAGTCATACGTACTTTGTATGTCATACATTAATGTTATAAAATCCCAGTCAGTCATAAAGTTGTTACTACTGTCCTCATTAAAACTGCGCTTCTTTATTTTTTAAGATTTCCTTGTAAGGTTATAATAAAAATACAGGAAGATGATGAGAAATATCAGTCATCAGAATTCCCGAGGAATTGTCTGCAAGATCATCGGTAAATATAATTATTATCAATAACAGTTGCATGTAATCCTTGTTGATGTATTAATAGTCGGGTAAAATGAGTATAGTAGCAGGGTATTCATAAAATTTTGTACGCTGTTGTCATCACACTCCAATAAGTTGATATTAAAGTCACCATGCGTGATGTATTTTTTTTTTATTTTCAAGAAACATAACTGATAAGGTTGTATTAAAGGTTTTTGTAAAATCATTGTATCTGAGAAGCCGGCAGTGGATTAGTCTGTGCCTTGGATTGGGTAAACTGTGTGCTACAGCTTGACCTGTACCGGGTGGTGGTCCTGTGGGATGTGCTCTGCCGATTTCGATGTTTTCAGCACCCATCGAGCTTCAGATGACTAGTTAGCAGCTCATGAACGAAGACCTCATAAGATTCCGATTCTGCCTCAAGGGAATGTTGTTGCGGCAACTTTGATTGTGAATATTGTCAATCTTGTCCTCAAGCTTCCTGATGATCCGTAATTTGTAATCCGTTTCTTTTTGGTTGGACAAATGTCACAGATATTCTCAGGTCAGATACGTCATTGGTATTTGCGGACACCTGTTGATGGACTTGATGATACTTCGACTCTACAGAGTTCAGTTGTGATTCTATGTTGTTGATTGTGGAGAGAATTTTGTCAAGCTTCTCGTCAATGGTTGACGGCAAGGACTTCACGCAACGCAGTCACCATCTTGATAAGTGGAACTGGGTCTCAGTGGGTCCTTTTTGGTGCGCATTTTTCTGCTGCCACGGGCTGTTTTCTTTGAAGATTCGTTGTCAGACATAATCCCAGTGTGCTATATTTGTTGATTTTCGGCAACAGTGACAGTACTTTATTTCAAAAGACGCACAAATTTCACAAAATCCGTGTGAGCAGAGTATACGCCACCTCACTCGTTCACATCACTGCCAAAAGTATTTCCATATCGTTCTTTTTTCGTTTTTCAAAGTGAAAAAGAACAACAGTGTAATCTATTGCTCCAAGAATGAAAATCGGTTCCATTTTTCATTGCATTACGTAAGAGACGTCTTAATAGTAAGCAATCAAATCAAACATGGCTGAATTAGAGGAATACGATGAATTCGTTACTTATAAAGTAAAAGGAGAAGCAACTCATAAGGAAATATCTCACATGCTCAAATGCAACTTTTATCCTGAGAAGTGTTCATCAGAGACGTCGTGACACATCGAAAGTACGTAGGATGAATTGGGATTACAATTTGTTCAAAATTAATCTCGTTTCCAACAGCCAAACGAAAAACGACTTCTTCCTCTTCTTCTTCATTTTTTTTTCGTTTTCAAACCGAAAAACAGAAAACGACTTGTGTTTGGTTGCGTGACATCCCTTTTTAAATCAAGAAACGAATGAACGAAACGTACACGGATCCAACTCGTACCTATCCCGGACATCTCGTAACCCAAGATAACATTGCATTTTATCATAGCTTGAGGTGATATTACGTCAGGAATGTAGCATAGCATATCAAATGCGGGGTTTTATTCCTGATGATGCGGCCGTCTGTTTGTTTGTTTTTAACCACTGGAGTTTTTTTACGTTGAAAACATATTTTTCCATGTCTACAGATATAGATTTGTGTGAGTGCAGTGAAGAGGTCGTATTTTAATTTTTTTTCATCCGTTAGTTAGCACTCGAAATAACTTGTTGAAATTGTTGCGTCTTGGAAATAAAAACCAATTGATAATGAAAACAAAAACCGGAAAAGCCTTTCAAGTGATTTTGTCCTTTTCTGAATATTTGTCGCTCTAAATAAAACCATTTTTTTTACGTAGACAATTCGCCTCAGGCATTGAATTAATCACTTTTTGGAACATTTGTGGCTCTGAAAAGAGCCAGTGGATCTAAAAGGAGCCGTTTGGTTTATTCAGGGGATGGGCCCGGTGCGGTAATTGCAGGCCACCAGAAACCTCGAAGTTTCCATCTCCCCAACCCGGTAGCGGTCTGACAGCTCTTGAGTGGTACAATGAGCTTGTACCCCCCACGCAGGAGTATGCTTCAGCGTGGTTGCAGTACGTGGCGTGGGGGGATAGGATTATATGTGGTTCGACATCTTTAGAACCTCTGATTAGTAAGCAGTGAATAGGCCTTTACTACGGAGAACAAAAAAGTGGCCATCTGTTTTTCTGCTACCAGAATAGTAGAAAAGCAGATTTTAAGTCTTTTTAACATGCAGTTTTGGATTTTTCTGCTACCACAGAAGCAGAACGAACATTTTATTGTAATGCATTTTTCCACTTCTTTGCCTTTCTGCCACTAACCTATCCCACTGTACAAAAGCAGTTTTACTTTCCTCTTTTTGCTGGCCGTCGAAAAGTGGCCATCTGCTTTTCTGTCCTCAATGGGCCCTGAATGCATGGGGCCAACTGTAGGTTACGACCGTATCTGATCTGGGGGAATGAAGACGTAGAAACCAATACTTAACCATGCATTTTGGGGACCAATCCCATACCGCAGTATCGGTGTCCCTGTGAGGCAGAGAAAATAGCATCTCAAAGGAAATACAGTTTTACAGCTATCATCCAATAGACACATGCACAAGCTTGCTTGGGCCATGGAAAGCATGTGAATCTTTTATTACTAAAGATAGGGTGGACTGTAGTGTTGATCTTGAACACCCTCAATGAGATGTAAACAGGTCTAGTTCACGAAAAGGAAGTGAGCTACCCTGAGGAAATGGCCCTTTACCTCATTCGTTATCGGTATAGTCATGTTGCTTATAACTATTGTAACAGTTTTGGAAAGGAACTGCATAATTGCGTTTTTTCTTTGCCTAGTGCGGGTACTTTCCCCGGTATTGGGCATACCGTGAAGGATTACTCAACTTCGACGATTATCACCTGAATTAGTGGCAAATTTATTTATCAAGCTGTTGTAGAACATGTATACACTATAGGGGGCCCCCGTACGATTGCCTCATTGAAATGGTGAAATCCTACCTTGCAAAAACCCCTCTGACGTCACCACCTATGTCAGACATTCAGACTATGATCGGTCTCTTAAATGCGTACAAGAACCCGTTGCACACGCACAGAGCTTGTCGATAGATCTGCTGCTGCCAAATCTGACCGTGGCCCACAAATCAAGAAAACAAACGTTGAAATTCTGACACAAAAGTTGATTTTTGGGGGGACGTTCTTGAAGTTAAACTCTGTCAGCCTCGTGCGGTTCAAAACCAGGTCTGAAGGTAAGCAACTGTCCAATCAATTATGTATTAACTTAGCCACTCCTGCTTCTTAGGGCCTTTGACGTCAAGGGAGGGTAATCCAATTGTCTACGTGGACAATGGTTGACAAGTGACAAATGATTGTTGGGGTGTCGTGTCGGATTAAAACCCTTAAGATGGTCGCTTTGATATTGGAGCGTTTAAAGCCCTACCAACTGTGCAGTTGAACAAATTACAAGAAGTAGTTTACGAGCATATGAAGCAAGGTATGAGACGGAGAGAACCCCCCTGCTTTGTGTTGGTCATTGTCTCGCGGGAATCTGGAGGAATTCCTTTCAGACATCTGGGGGGGGATGTGTTAAGTAACAATAGTCTGGAATGTGTATAGGGATTGGACATGTTGGGGGGGTACCCCTCGGTCTCATTTCTTGCTGGGTATATTTACGAGCGCGACAACCTGCACTGTACTGTAATCTTAGCAGTTTGGGACAATGCTTTATTCGTAGTTTGCCAAATGTGACAGCTAAGACACCGTGTCGTAAAGCTATAATTTGATTATTATCTTTGCGTTATTTATATTGTTGCGGATTTTATCCATTAACTTCAGAGTAAGTGTGGAGCAGTTGATCCCGACTAGATCTGAAACCGACTTTGGGTCGTGTCAGTTTCAGTTTTTCCACTGGTCAATGTCGTTCAACTAACAAACTCTGTACGGTATCACCAAGTTGGATCAAGATGTAAAAAAAAGTTCGCATCCAATTCCTTGACACTATCTGACTTCAGTAAAGTGTGAAATGTCTTTTCGTCCGTTGCAACGCCCAGTGTAAAAGAAATCGTTAGAGTTTCATTCTTTTCAATTGAATACTTTTGCTCCTGGGCGGAGGACAGCCTCTTTGGTAATCGATTGTCTTGTCCCCTTCTTGCAATTATCTGGATAGTGTTGAATGTGTGGGTTTACACGTTGCATTCATTGGATTATGACCTGACACGGAACTATTTCATCGGACAGAATCCATTACAATAGTTCCAATCCTAGAACATAATTCTTCCATGACCGTCCGAAAATTGGATTCTTGTTACAGCAAGAATGGTTTCACAAAAGGCGATAATTCGAGACATCTTGAAATAAGTAAAATGGATTAGTCGGTCGATTCTCCTCCATTCGTGGAAGAAGCGGAACAGTAATCTTATTTCATGGATGAACACGCTGGTAACGTGCTTTCAATAGGAAAACATGAGGGATATTGTAATAATGAAGGACAATAAACCACTTGACGTTCTTATTGTATCAGGCATTTGGCGGACAGCCTAGCTCCGGCAAGAAACTTCGGATGTGGTTCTGGTACTCGGCAGAAATGGAACCAAATAAGGTAAAAAAGAAGAAAAAAGGCGTTTTTGGACAAACTAATAGCTCCCCAATCTTGAAGAAATGAGCTGATCGATACGAACGATTTATCAAGCTTCCAAACACTATCACGGTGGTTCTGAGGGAAATTCGACAAAACTGTGGAAATGTAGCACTGAAAATAGAGGTGAAAAACGACGAAAATGTGTCCCAATGGAAATGAAGTGAATTTCAAAGAAGAGGTTTTGTTCCTAGAAGCAATCAACTTGTTCGTTCAAAAGAGTTATCAGTCTTTTACATTTCATCCAGGGTATTCGAAGGTAAACCAAGCAAAATTGGGGAAATTAGATACAAAGGTCAGTTTCTTTAAAAAAATCCCTTGTCGTACAATTGACACTTTCCACTTCCTTGAGTCTTTTCTGGAGGTCTTTCTTATGCAGAAGCTATTAAATATCACCACCACATGATAGATTCTTGGCAATTTATTCACACACGAGGTCTTCAAGGGAAATGGCAGTACAAATCTCTCACAGTGGTCACCACCGATATGCGTCGTCTGCTTGAATAATTTTTTGGCCGACAACCCATGGAAATAATATGGCGCATGCGCGAATACACAAACTAATGCGTGATACAGGTCTATATCACAGGTCACGGGGACGAACATACGTGCGGTGCATTGCACTAATTACAAGCCTTGGATGTATGTGCATTCACGTTTTCAAATGCATTTCGTTTGAAAAAATGTCACTTCACATGCATTCACAGAATGTGAATGCCCTTTTGTTTTTACCTCAAATGATCGTAAAGCCAAGCATTCTGTTACACCTTGTTGAAAGTGTATACAGTTTTAAACACAAATTTAATTATCTTTTCCCTTTTAGAGAATACAGTCCCTTCATAAAACGATTTCTTTTAAAGTCCATTTTTGCATTCTCTGAGGAATTATTAGTGGTTGAGGCCAAATCACATTTCATTGCACAATCTGAAAAATTCTAATAGCGGGCGTGGAACAGTAGTGACTGGTTCAAATTGGTATTATGTCTTTAAAAATATCCTCGAAACGCTTAAACTGATTGNCTATTCTTGTTATGCAGAAGACTATCCCAGGCCCTGTCGGAATGGGGTGATCGGGCAACAAGTAGCTGAGTGCCGGAACAAGCACCGTTGTAAGTTAGACCTATGGCCCTTGTCACCCATCGCACTCATCACAGCAATAATTAAAACTTTCTCGATCTCTCCGTCAACCACATTTCTTACATATCACTCTCCTAATTCTTAACCTATAATTTTTTTATGGTTGTTACGATCGCTGACATCACAGACTAGTCAAGACACAGACAATTGTGCTAGAGATGGTGTGTTTACATAATTCCAGTACATAAAAAGCTTCTGAACCGCCAACAATTTTCATAAGAACTGCCGCTTTAAGTGCTTATCGAAGCCAAATTGATATTGCCGTTCGATGTTACCCGAACCGAAGGGAAACATCGTTTCACGTCCGTCAGGGCAACGCACGTAACTGTTGGCCTCTCCGTTTTGAGCAGAGGTATACTCTGGTTGCCTGAAAAGAGCAGTGTTAGTGGGAAGGATTGTTGGTCGCGATATAACCACAACGCATGCATTTCCTTGTCGTTCGTGCGCTAGCGCATTGCAGTTCCAGCCTTCGTTGCTGGGACAATTGTAAAAATAAGTAAAAACATCAAGTTAAAAGATAATACTATAGTATTAAAAATACAAACATTATTAAAAAGTGATAAAGCTTTGTCCATATATGCTTAAGTGTCATCAGGGATTGTTCAGAGATAGTTTGTTCATCAAAGTTGATGTCAAAACTCGACTTTTGCACTTGAGTGACCTAACTGTTAATTGCTTTATTTCCAATAAGAGGAATCCTCCTGCGCAATTTCTTTTCATTATTTTAGGTAAAAGAAAGCGGACGGGCCAAGCCCTGCAAGGAACTTCTCCTCTGAGGACTTTAATCGCACGAAGCAACAAAGAGGTCTTTAAAATTGATACTTCACAATTATTTCTCTAAATCTTTGCCTCGTTTGTGTTAAAAGATGAGCTAACATATTCTCCAATCCAGGCGTTCACCAAACAATGGATCAACACGTAGTTGACATGTCAGTGTAACGACATGTCCGCATTTCCTAAAATTTATACATTTATCAAACTTGCGAGACATTTCGGACACTAAGGAGTATTAAATAACAGCTCTCGCTCTGAATAGAAACTGAAGTGGACTCTTCTTGTCCAATCACAGCCACAGTATGGCGTGTTTGATCAGCCGAGTGATCTTTCGTCGTATTACATCGGGGATGTTTATCAGCATCGGGTACCAGCTTGGCAAGAACGCATCCTCAAGGTAAAATTATCAAAAGTCAGCACCTGCATGTATTTTGATGCATTGTCTTCGTTTTCTGGAAATGAAAAGAATCGTAAGGAATGCCTACAAAGCCCACATCTCATGTGTATTTACGGGTGTAGACCCAGAGGGAGGGGTCGGGGTCATTTCCCCCCTGCTCTTCGCCATTTTTGCCAGTGTCTAAAGGTTGGAAGACCTCCCTAAAAGCACAACCCACTGGTGGTCTTATTTTGCGTGTGCGGTTGATGATATAGCAAAGAGATAAAACGGCGGCGGCGGCTGAATGTAGTGTCCTCCACCTGGTACAAAATTATTCCCACCCTCAGCAAAAATCCTGGATCCGCCCCCAATTCAGTATACATGATTGTTATTCTGTAAGTGTAGGTGGCCTTACGGTACACAAATATTTTGTCTTGTGTCTGGTAAGTTTCTCATTATTTCAAAGTCAGGTAGATACAGAAATGGTCTGTGATAAAATGCCCTTGAGAATCCCACAACAAAATTCCTTGAGAAACATAAGGCGACAGAATGACATCCATTTCAATTTGTTAATACAAAAAAGCCTAGGACACGTTTTGACTCAAACTTGCCAAGGCAATATGTTCACTATGGATGCTACTATGCACTTTCTCCCTACCTCGTCATTGCTACACGGCTATTTTGGTCAGATTCTTTTGCAAATATGTAGCGGGGGCGGACACCCCTAGGTATCCTCCATTATGTACACGACGTATGGTTCATAGCCTTTTAGTGCCCCCCATTGAAGAAATGCGAGCATCCACTGGATGCTTCCCGCAGATGTCATTCCACTTAGGCCAATCATACCTAATGAGGTATCCACATCCACGAGAGGCACAACGGTGACAAACTACCGCCATCCTCGGAATTTCGGGGTGGTTCTTCCACTGAAAGCCAGAAACTATATAAAAGAAAAATCATATTCCGCGCGGTCATTTGCATACAGTTCTCTTTTCAAAAGAATTGGTCTTAAATCTATCTAAAAAAAATAAAATGATTCACAATTCATTTAGTCGGGGAGGCACAAAGTAATTTTGTTTATTAAATTTGCTCTTTCCTTTTCGTATATTAAACTACCCTGGAAATTTACTGATGTGGAACTGCGCCAATTGATACGAACTCTGGGACATATGAATTAAATATCTCTGTTATATCTAATGAGGCCACTTCCTTGTCATAATGAGCACTGATGGGAGTAATAGGTCCATGGATTGTGTCCCGTTGTTCAATTTTTGCCATATATTGCTTAGTGTAATATTGCCATTTTCAGGGTATTTCAGTGCCTTTAAATTTTTTTATATTGCTTCAAATTTGAATATTATGCGCGAAAATGTGATGTTATCCAAGACAGGAACGCCAGTATTGCAGGAATTAATTTTTGGGCTGTCGTTTTTTGCTTTATTTTCTCTGGTGATTTTTTGCTGTTTCAATTTATTACGTCAATCAGTGCAATGTTGAAGTTCGGTGCCTTGAATTACATCACATTTTGCTCATGAACTTGCAAATTCGTATTAGCGTTCAAACTAAATATATCCTTAAAAACCACAGAACAGACATTTGAAGCAAACGGGCAATACGGCCGTTTCACAATAGTGCGCCATCAAGAGTTTGCAACGCGTTGGCCGATCACAATGCACGAAATTTGTCGACCCATTGCGCTTTTGGAAAGGGTCGACAAATTTTGCGCGTTCTGATTGGCCAATGCGTTGCAAACTCTTGGTGGCGCACTATTGTGAATCGCTCGTATTTCAAGGGTTACAGTAAAATATTTCTATTGCATGGACCCTTTTAGCTTAAACCTTTTTGACAAAATTATCCGTCTTTAAAGGATCACATTTGATCCCTTACAAATGCACCATCAACGCGTACTGTATATTCACCACAATATTTTTCCTGCTCCCTTATGATTTGTTTCGATTTAACAGCTACTGACCATCGCGAAGGCTGACATGGAAATATAACCAACTGATCAACAGCGTTGACATCGGTCACGTTACCCCAGGTCACGTCAGTCAAACATGTAAATGCACGGCTTTACTTATTTCTAAGAAATGATTGTAATATTTGCATTTGACCAGTTTTTGCTAAGAAACAGAAACAAAGTGTTTGCTAAACACTATGAGAACGAGATTATATATATTGAATAAAAAATAATAATGTGAATTCCGAGCTTGCTTACAGACTGACTACACAAAGGCCCATGGTATGCTATGCTATGCTTTCAATGATATTTAAAGCTCTTAAGCTCTTTAGTTGTTAATATTTCCACAACAAAAGTCCATTCTTCAGGCTTACCACAAATGAGTTGATGATTTTCAGACATTGATAGAATTTATCAATAGGCCTCATGTAAGTACTAATCAAATAAGCTCTTTTATCAGAGTGACTACTTTACATTATTAATTCTGTGGTGTCAATGTGGTGGCAAAAATCTTTCCTTATTATCAGACAGCAGTGTTTCCGGTCATGTAAGGCTTGATTTATTCAAACAAATCTCTCAGGTAAATGGTCATTTATCCCACACAGGTACTGATATTTAAATGAAAACGTACATTGTGTGACAACCACACGAGAGTGCCGAGGCTATTCGTCGGTCCTTCATTTTACATTGTAAAATTAATTTCTTGTACAGTAAGTGGATTGTATTTTCTTATTTCAACTATAATAAATAAAAATTCTTTGTGCAAGCTGTAAATTTTATATTGATTTCCAATTTTTCATTTTAAGTTTCTTTTATCTTTTGTTTTCGCCAAAGTTACCTTATTCAATATCCATACCTCTCGCAGAGAGTTGCATGATCTCTAAGAATAAGTTTAGACATTTCAAACTTTCATGGTTCTCGTTTCCGGCAACTTCAGCGAAGTCTCATGTTCCAGCTTTCTGAATTTTGGTCAGCTTAATAGTACGTTTGGAGTCAGTTCTATCGTTCTACTGTACTCAAACACGCCCCTCCTTCCACTATCGTCCATTGACCAAGGCTAAAGATAAAGAAAATTGTCTGCAGAGGCCAAAGAGTCTCGGGTTTCTCGTCAAGTGGTGCGGCGACGGGCCATTTTTTACCCTCACTTTTTTCTGGAAGTGATGCACGTATAACGCGAGACACCATTACGACTGCATGCGCACGTAACGCCGGCCGCTACCAACACTAAAATAGACTGGCCCCTGCACCTTTTACTGTTTAAAAGCATTTCCAGCTTGTACATGTACTCAGGACACAAGACCACCTCGTTTGTCTGTTTCCCAGATGTAAATATATAATACAAAAATTACGTCATTTGAAAAAAAGTGCCGAACTAAAATCGGGAACAAGAGGGACTCCTTTTATACTGTTTATTTATTCCAAAATCTTTTTACGGGATACACAACCAGCTTAAAGGCTGTTTTACATCATGGTCCCGTGCAGTAACGAAAAAAAAACCAGAACAATTAAGAGGGTAAAAATAGTTACAATTCAGATTAAACAACAAAACACCTAATTGAATTCCCTTAGGAAGGAATCTGGACTCTGAAACCCCAGAAATGATACAGTCTCCTCACTGGAGCAGCTGGTGCAATATAGAAAAAAAATGAAAACGCATCTCAGGGTTTGAACGCTCTGAGCAGGGTTCAAATTTCATGTTAGGCCTAGGTACTACTAAATTAAGAGGATCAGCGTTTTTAGTGTTAAATTCATAGTGCCTGTCAAATTACATCTCAATATTATTACAAAGTCTGTCAGGAGCTAAACCATGAACACATTTATACCTATTACAAACTTAATAAAAGTCCCTTAAAAGCTTCATAAAAATCATCAACAACACGATGCAAACATGTCTGAGTGAAGTGATTCTTCAGGAACGCAAATTGGTCAACTGCAAACACATCATGGGTGTTCAGGTCATAAAGAGGTTGAACCTGAAATTCTTTTTCAATAATTTTACCAATAATTTTATGGTCAGTAATTGCCTTTGTCCTTTTTACAAACCTTTCCCTTGTAAATAGGGGAGGCATGGGCGAATTACTCATATTATGTACATATTACTCAACCGTATCCGATCAAAAACACGTTACGCAGTAGCAGGATTCTAGTCGATTAAGCAAGCACGGACATCGTTTTATAACATATAACAAATAACAAAAAACGGAGACTTTTGGCCTAATGCTCTGAGTCGTAAAATGAACTCGATCCAGAGATGTCATAGCCTTGGTCAAGGCGTTCGTCATTCGTCGCAGCGCAGTGTAGTAAGTACCTAGTACCTTCGTACGTATATGTACTTTACATACCAGCATGCATTGCAAAATCAACGCCAAGAGCGACCTCACGCGGCCTAAGAAATATGCAAATCAGCCGAACCAGGACGAACGCCTGTGTTCCTAGCTCAATGGTGCAACCGTCCGCGGAAGCTGTATTGGGCGGTGTCTTCTGCTAATAACAAGAGCCGATGTTTTATATATGCTTTTGAATTGGTTCATTACTACATAGAACTGCATCAAGCCGGTCATAATGTGAAGGGTTAACTGAACACACACGTGGCTATGTCATGTACATATACATGACAAGTCAACAATATTTATTTTGCCAGATGATCACAGTAATCGGAGATCGAGTTCGTCTTTGCTTTGCATGTTTTGCTTTTCTGATTGTGACTGATATTTTCTTCCACCGATTTAAATTAGTGAACAAACGCTATCTGGATTCATCAGTTACAATACAGACTTGATCGGCGACCTCCAGTTTTGCATTTCCCGTAGCCTGTTTGCAAATTCACGAAAACGTCGTCACCTCACAGAAAGTATTCTAAGGCTTGCAGCTGCTCGGCACGAAAATCAACATTAATTTATCTGCAGCGGAATTCAAGCAACAAGACAACTCGTCGTACTGTAGTCGTCTCGGAAAGTCCGCCATTTTACATGGTTATAATTCACGTTGATGCATCATGCATCTGTATACTTAGCTGTGCACTCATCGCACTCCTGCATCTATCCATGTTCGCATA